AGAGCTTGTAAGCCTTAAGGAGTCAGGATCCTGGCCAGATCACTCTGCAGCTTTGATATTATATATATAATCTTAAATAGCTTATTACTCTCCGTATCATACATTTCACTTAACTTGTAAGACCTGGCGGAGAAACCCATTGACCTAATCCAAATGATAGGATAGTTTTGATGTATAAGTCAGAAGTTGTGATAGGACGGGAATGGGATAAGAGGGTAAGGAGTAGATAAATTGGCAAGGGTAGAAAGAGGAATGATAGTGCAACAGTTTCGGTAGAAAATTTAGTGGAGAGATTGACTTCACTTGTCTATTTGACGAGTTGTAGCTTGGTGCGGAAAATAGCAAGACTCACTGATACTGCCGACTACGATGCCGGCGAAATGTCTGAGAATGTACCAAGTCGACGGTTTGATGCTGGAAATTATGACAACTACTATGTCAGATGACTTCGGACTAGGTGCGTTCTACTAAGTCGCCTTGACAAGACCAAGTTGCGACAACCATTTCAACCCACTCCTATAAATCGAAAGGGGGCTGCGACAACGCTGAGGGCCAGACCATATTGGTTTTCATATCTTCGTATAAAATCATAGGTCACGGCATTGACGAGGTGAACTTTGCTTTTCAGTGGATTAACTGACATTCTGCCTTCTCAGACCAGCTCCTTGCTTTGATTCGAGAAGTGGTGCAAACAAACAGGCTGTTAGGACACAATCGTCAACGTAGCAAGCGAAGAGTAATGCTTGCCGGTAGATATTGCAAATTTTAGGACTACAAGAGATTTGGAGCCAATGAAGCATCACAAGAACAAGGGAATTATAATGAATCAGGGAAAGGGTTCAGGCTTCGGGCCTCTAGAGTGACTGACAGTTGGAGGCATCAAACCTTGCCAAACGATTTTATGGGATTTAACATATAGGAGAAACAAGTTAAAACTCTCAACTCCTTTCTATTCTATGCTTTTTTATAGGATCTGATTACTGCGTCAACTGGCGATGCAAGCAAGACAATGTCCAAAGAGGGTAAGTAAATTTAATTATTCTTGTATTGAAGTAAAGAAGGAAAGCATACTAGCCAATGGTGTTAAAGAAATCTGATATAACCAGTTAAATAGTCCAATACGAGATGTATATGAGATGGTAGCCTCGAAACCCTACACATAAACGAGAGATAAAGAGACCAAATTATTATTGCTAACAAGGGTGAATTCCACCATTGTTGAGCTTACTTCCATTTTGAGTGGAAGTGTTGGGTGAAGAGGTTCGAAGGTCGGTTCCATCAGAAGACGACCAAGAACAGACGTTAATTTTGCTGTCCTTATTACTTTGAGCCATTACTGTTAATTTCGTGCATAAGCCAACACAAAAAGGCACATACGCCTACAGAGACAGATACACTCACAGGCTTAGAAGTTAACGTATGACCGTAACTAAGCAAATCACTTTATACCTGATCAAAGAGGTTAGATGTAGAGTATATATAGCTCTTTTTAGGGATTTGCCGGTGAGTTTTCTTGACTCGTTAGCTTGAATTTTGTTGTGACCATCTTATCTAGCTCTGATGATGTCTTTCATATGACGGACGAAAGCTTAGCACGTTTTCACCGGAATCGAAGGAGATTGCCTCGGAAACAGTGTCAGCATAAATCTTCCAGTAAAGCCAATCGACAGCTGGTCAAGTGGAATCCGCCGTCGTCTTGTGGTAAAACCGACCATCGAATCTCTTCACTCAACACTTTCACTCAAAATGGTAGTAAGCTTAACAATTATGAAACAAGAGATTCCTCGAAACCCAACTTTTCTTCGTATGAATTCCACCAGACCCAACGACAGATATGAGAGGTCGCTAAGCTAGCTCGGAACATTAAGAGTAAATGGTGTAGTCATGGGAGATGGATGAATTGGTGGCCATGACACCGGCTTTTTAAAGTCAGAATGTGTCATCAACAAATTGGGATGATGAAAGGAGTCGTTGGAAATAAGGAGAAAATTGCATCAGCCGCATAACGAAGCT